ATCACCCGCCCGTCATCGTCCCCAAACCCGGACCCGACGCCCTCACGCCGCCCCCGCTTCCCTGAGCTCCACGTGAACCCCGAACCGCAACCCGACTCCGCGGCCATCCGAACTGCCCCCCGTCCCTCCCGGAGCCCCGCACAGGCCCGGACGGTCGGGACCTGTTGACCCCAAAGGCACCCCGACCGCAGGCAGGAGGGTCACCCCGGCTTCCTCCCGACACCCCGGCGCTCCCCGTCCCCCCCGCCCCCCGCATCCCCGCCGCGAATCCCCCGAGTCCAGCCGCCCCCCTCCCACCCCGTGAGAGCAAACTTCAATGAAGACAAAACTTTTTTTCTAAAAAAAAAAAAGTCAAAGGACAAGAAGAGCACACTCACCTGCTGAACCTTACACCCCGCGAACCGATTCAGATTCTGGAATCGTCGCCCAGATATTGCGTCACTACGGTGGCCGAGGAGGATCATGGGCATTTGGGGGAAAGCGAGCGATTTCCGCTGTCCCCTCTGAGGCAATATGTCCGCTCCCAGCGCGCGGCGCCGCCACGGGGGCCGCCATGTTGGGAGGCCCGGCTTCCGTACGGGAGGCAAAGGCCCAGGTTTGGAAGCTGCAGCCAGGGATGGCTGGCAGGTGGGAAGCACCCAAGATCATCTCCCGTCCTGGCACTTGTACTCTTGTGGAAAATGAGTGTGTTTTCAGAGATTTGAGCTTCTCAAGGAAAATACAGAGCCAATTAAATAGTGTTGGACGGGCTGGGCAAAGAAGTCATGTGGCCGCTGCCTTTATTTTTAGTTTGTATAAATAAAACTTTAAAAATTTCAGAAAAAAATATTTTTTAAATTGATTTCAGAGAGGGAGAGATAGAAATGTCAATGATGAGAGAGAGTCATCCATCGGCCACCTCCTGCAAACTAACCACTGGGAATTATTGATGGGCTGCCTCCTGCATGCCCCCCACTGGGAATCAAGCTCAAAACCCAAGCATGTGCCCTGACTGGGAATCAAACCATGGCCTCCTGGTGCATAGGTCCGTGTGCAACCACTGAGCCATGGCAGCCGGGTCAGGGGCTAGGCCTGGGCAATTCTTTGCTGTAGGAGCCACTCTGGGCAATGCAGGGTGTTGGGAAGCACCTATCAGATGCCAGTAACACTGCTGACTGGTTATGATACCTGAGTGTCTCCAGATATTGCCAAATGTTTCTTTTTTCTTTTTTTATAATATATTTTATTGATTTTTTACAGAGAGGAAGAGAGGGATAGTTAGAAACATCGATGAGAGAGAATCATTGATCAGCTGCCTCTTGCACACTCCCAACTGGGGATGCGCCCTCAACCAAGGTACATGCCCTTGACCGGAATCGAACCTGGGACCTTTCAGTTCACAGGCCGACACTCTATACATTGAGCCAAACCAGTTTTGGCCCAAATGTTTCTCAAAAGGGGGTCAAATTTGCCCAACAGAGATCCCTCGCCAGCCCCTGGTGCTCTGTCAGGAAAATGTTAATTTTTATTAAAATGTTCTATTAGGGCCAATTCTGGTTTGGCTCAGTGGATAGAGCATCATCCTGAGGACTGAAAGATCCCAGGTTCGATTCTGGTCAAGGGCATGTACCTTGGTTGTGGGCACATCCCCAGTAAGAGGTGTGCAAGAGGCAGCTGATTAATGTTTCTCTCTCATTGATGTTTCTATCCCTCTTTCTTCCTCTCTGTAAAAAAATCAATAAAATATATATTTTTTAAAAACAGAAAACCCAAGATTAAAGACTTAGAAAGTTCTTCACTATTTTACAACCAAAGGGATAAGACCCTGGCAAGTCTTGAATCAGTACATTGACCACCACTCAAAAAATTTGTCACTGTAATTTAGAAAAAGTCTGCCCCTGGGAAAGTTATTCAGTAAGCTGCTTGCTGAATTCAGGTGATGTTCTATGGGGACAACACTGAGTCAGGTCCATATGGCAACTAGTCAGAGTACAAGGAAATAAGATTCCTAAAAGCTCAGACTGCTCCCAATTTTCTCAAACAAATCAGAGAACAGAGTTTGCTTTCCTGAGCACATGAGTATGGTGATTGACACAATTTGTGAATATCTTTTTTTTAATTTTTATTTTATTGATTTTGTACAGAGAGGGAGATAGTTAGAAACATCAATAGAGTCATCGATCAGCTGCCTCTTGCACATCCCCTACTGGGGATAGGCCCGCAACCAAGGTACATGCCCTTGACGGGAATCGAATCCGTGACCCTTCATTCCTCAAGCCAACGCCCTATCCATTGAGCCAAACCGGTCTCGGCAATTTGTGAATATCTTGTAGGTGGAATAGCAACAGAAATATGTAGCGACAGCCCAGCCGATGTAACTCAGTGGTTGAGCTTCAACCTACAAACCAACCAAGATCTCACGATTTGAACCGAGGTCAGGGCACAAGCCCCTGTTTCAGGCTGCATCTCCTGCATGCAGGGGTCAATCAATGATTCTCTTTCTTCATTGCTATTTCCATCACTCCTGATCCCTCTCCCTTCCTCTCTGAAATCAAAAAATTTTTTTAAAGGGTCTACAGATGTTGACACCCGGGTCACAAGACATAGTTGTTAAAAAAAAAAAAAAAATGCTCTGGCTCATTTGGCTCAGTGGATAGAGCATCGGCCTGCAGACTAGGAGGTCCTGGGTTCAATTCGGGCCAAGGGCACATGTCTGGGTTGTGGGCTCAATCACCAGTGGGGGGAATACAAGAGGCAGCTGATCTATGATTCTCTCTTATCACTGATATTTCTATCTCTCTCTCCCTTTCTCTCTAAAATCAATAAAAATATATCAAAAATGAATAAATTTAAAAAATATTATGTAGCAACAAAGATTTGGGAAGACACCTGCATAAATTACAAATTATAAACATACATGACGGACTGGTGTGGTTCAGTGGTTGAGCGACACCATATGAACCAGGACTCGATTCGGTTTCCACTCAGGTGCAAGCTCAATCTCCAGTATGGGCATGCAGCAGGCAGCTGATCGGTGATTCTCTCTCATCATTGATGTATCTATCTCTCTCTCCCTCACTCTTTCTCTCTCAATAAAAACATTAATAATAAGTGCAACATACACACACATGCTTTTCACAAAAGTAAAATATATTGGGAATCTTTCTACGATTGGTAATTGAATGTATGAGATTCAATTCAGACAAGTGGGTCTTCAGAGTTTACTACATTATTATTTATTTATTTATTTAATAAATCTTTATTGTTCATATCATTACAAAAGTTCCTCATTTTTTTCCCCTCCACAAGGTTCCTACCCCAACCTCTGCCCTTCCCCCCGCATTGTCCTCATCCATAGGTGCACAGTTTATGTTCAGTCTCTTCCTGCACCCCCCACTCCTTTTTTCTCTGAGAATCATCAGTCCACTCCCCTTCCATACCTCTGATTCTATTATATTCAACAGTTAATGTTGTTCATCAGTTTTTTTTTATTCCCTTGGTGTGTGTGTGTGTGTGTATATATATATATATATATATATATATATATATATATATATTTATTTATTTATTTTTTTTTTTTTTATTGGCTTCCAAAGGGGAGTTTAAGGTCAAAAGGAGTTTCAGGTGTGCCCAGATCCCATTCATCAAAATCTGGGTAAGCTCCTTATTTTTTGGTACAAGATTCAGCACATCGAGTCCTAGGTGAGTCAATGTCCCACCGGTTCCCCATTCCAAGCACATGGATTAAGAAATCAGCACTGATAAGAGGATTCTGCTAGTGCCCTCAGCCTCAGCTGATAAGAATTAAAAGAATGTCCACAGCTGAAACCGGTTTGGCTCAGTGGATAGAGCATCAGTCTGTGGACCGAAAGGTCCCAGGTTCGATTCTGGTCAAGGCATGTACATTGGTTGTGGGCACATCCCCGGTGAGGGGTGTGCAGGAGGCAGCTGATCGATGTTTGTCCCTCATCACTGTTTCTAAGTCCCTATCCCTCTCCCTCTCTGTGAAAAATCAATAAAAAATATATATTTTTAAAAATGTCCATGTGCCTTCTCTGGCGGCTCTCTACATCTCACCCTTTTTTACTAATTAAAATTTAAACATCAATAATAGGGCTCTAAAATTAACAATTGCAAACAATGCCAATGCAAAAACTAAACCACATACATGTTATTTTCAAAACTTTAATGTCAAGAGCAAAACTCTGGCTATTAAATAATAACAACAATGCCAATGCAAAACAACAAAATGAGAAATCAGAATTATGGACATATTAATATTTTTAGCTACTAAATGTGTCTTTTATGTTGCTGGTGTAGATTTACTCAGAGTCCTTGGACTTGCTGCACAAGACTTTGCAGAAGACTGGAAGCTAACAGATGCTAGCATGAGCAGGAACATGATTAAAGAAGTAGCTTCCACTTCAGTCTTTAATTTCTTCAGATGACTCCATGTTGGCACCTTAGTCCCTTGGGTAGCCTTCAGTTTTCTACTCCCACTTTGCTGTCGTCTCGGCAACTCTCCATCCTTTTGGGTGAAGAGACACAGGAGCTTTTCTGAGTCCATTGTGATGATGGACATAACACTTTGGTACCCGAATTGGCTGCATTGCTCCTTCTTTCATTTTGAATCCAGGGTTCGACCCCACAACACTCTGGGCCTAGATGCTCCGGACCTGGGTGCTGCTCCAGGCCTGGCTGCTCAGGGCCTGGATGCTGCTGCTCTGGGCCTGGCAGCTCTGGGCCTTGCTGCTACAGGCCTGGATGCTGCTCCGGCCCCGGATGCTGCTGCTCTGGGCCTAGATGCTCTGGGCCTGGCTGCTCCCGGCCTGGCTACTCCAGGCCTGCCTGCTCCGGGCGTGCCTGCAGCTGGTCCAGGCCTGGCTGCTGCTGCTCCAGGTACTACATTATTTTTAGGAGTGAACTAAAAAACTGCATTTCCTGAATATGTAAGACTTTCCTCCAATGTGAATTCGTATGTGTGGAGTCAGGTTAGAACTTTACCTAAAAGATTTCCCATATTAACTACACACATACAACCTTTCTCTAGTGTGAATTCTCTGATGAGAACGAAGGCCATAAATCACAGCAAAAGATTTTCCACATTCACTGCACTCATAAGGCTTTTCTCCAGTGTGAACTCTCTGATGACAACGAAGGGTATACAACCTGGTAAAAGATTTCCCACACTGACGACACTCATAAGGCTTTTCTCCCTTGTGAACTTTCTGATGATAGTGGAAGCCAGTGAAACTGGCAAAGGACTTCCCACATTCACTGCACTCATAAGGCATTTCTCCAGTGTGAACTCTCTGATGGCTACGGAGGCCACTGCGACAGGTATAAGATTTCCCACATTCATTGCAAACATAAGGTCTTTCACCAGTGTGAGCTCTCTGATGACGATGAAAAGTACCTTTCCAAGTAAATGATCTCCCACATTTACTGCACTCATAAGGCGTTTCTCCAGTGTGAACTCTCTGATGGCAACGGAGGCCATTGGGAGAGGTATAAGACTTCCCACATTCATTGCAAACATAAGGTCTTTCACCAGTGTGAACTCTCTGGTGACGATGAAGGGTAACTTTCCAAGTAAATGACTTCCCACATTCACCACATTCATAAGGCCTTTCTCCAGTGTGGATACTTTGATGATAATGCAAGCCAGTGCTACTGGCAAAAGACTTCCCACATTCACTGCACTCATAAGGCCTTTCTCCAGTGTGAAATCTCTGATGACCACGCAGGCTATTGCTATCGGTAAAAGATTTCCCACATTCACTGTACACATAAGGTCTTTCACCAGTGTGAACTCTCTGATGACGACCAAGGTTAACTTTCCAAGTAAATGATTTCCTACATTTGCTGCAATCATAAGGCCTTTCTCCAGTGTGAACTCTCTGATGACGATGAAGGTGAGCACTAGTGATAAAAGATTTCCCACATTTACTGCACTGATAAGGCCTTTGTCCTGTGTGAACTTTCTGATGATAACTGAGACCACTGCCAGTGGTAAAAGTTTTCTCACATTCACTGCACTGGTAAGGCCTATCTCCAGTGTGAATTTTCAGATGACAACGAAAGCCAGTGCTACTGGGAAAAGATTTCCCACATTCAATGCAGTTATAAGGCCCTTCTCCCGAGTGAAATTTCTGATGATAACATAAAGTAGAAAATCTGGTAAAGGATTTCCCACATTCACGGCACCAGAAACCCTCTTTTCCAGGATGGACACTCTCGTTCTGAAGAAACGTATGGTTACAGCCATTGGCTTTCTTACATTCTTTTCTGGAGTAATAAGTTTTTCTCTTTTGAAATGTCACCCCACACATCGAGATGTCATTTGGTCTGTTCCTGGTCTGAGTAGCCTTTTGCTGGAGATGTCCTGACTCGGTAAGGATGTCCTGCCCCACCTCTCCACAGGTAAAAAGTTTCTGAGAAGTACTGAAATGCCAGCCCTTTGCAAGTGAGATGTTGTCCATACTTCTTAAGTGCTGCTCTGGGTGCCGGTGAAATTGTGCATGGAATTGAAATTGTTTTGCACATGTCCCACACCTCAACAGTATCTGCCTGTCTTGTAATTCCTGCTGCTCAATCAAATGGAAAATGTTTCTCAAGACTAATCCACAACTCTCACAGGGGTGGTGGCTCTTCTGGGAAGACAAAGCTAACTTGGCATTCTTTGCCTGTGACACTTTTACAGCAATGTTCTCTTCAAGCTGTGCCTCCATATTCTCTGCTCTACAACAGCAACCTAAAAAAAAAAAAAAAAAAAAAAAAAAAAAAGGAAATGCAGGTGAAGTACATGGTGATCTTAGCAGGAAGAAATATCCTCATCAGAAAAGTCCATCTGTCACAGCTAGGCATGATTATTATTATTTTTTAAATAATATATTTTATTTATTTTTTTTTACAGAGAGGAAGGAAGAGGGATAGAGAGTTAGAAACATCAATGAGAGAGAAATATTGATGAGCTGCCTCCTGTACACCCTCTACCAGGTATGTGCCCACAACCAAGGTACATGCCCTTGATCAGAATCAAACCTGTGACCCTTCAGTTGGCAGACTGACGCTCTAGCCACTGGGCCAAACCAGTCAGGGCTAGGCATGATTCTTATGGGATGATTTTTGAGACCAGTGACAAAATGTTTGTTATACATTACTTGACCCCTAAAGTCAGTCAATAGTAGAGATACTATGAAGGGAGGGACACAAAAAAGAGATACAGGCTCCACTAGTTGTTCCTTTACAAACAGCTGTCTGTAGGACCTTTCATACAAGTGTACACAAGTCTGTGGGGACTAATTTAAATGTGCTCAAATTTAAATTAGTCCGCACACATTCTGGTTTCTGGCTCTCTTGTATTTCCCTTGCCTTCCTGTCTTAAGATTGTCCTTTGTGATTTGATAATTTTGTATTATAGTTTTAGTCCTTTCTCTTTTCTGTATCTATTACATAGGTTTTTGCTTGTAGTTTTCCAGAGACATAAAAATGCATTGTAGCCGAAACCAGTTTGGCTCAGTGGTAGAGCGTCAGTCTATGGACTGAAGGGTCCCAGGTTCGATTCCGGTCAGGGGCATGTACATTGGTTTTGGGCACATCCCCGGTGGGGGGGTGTGCAGGAGACAGCTGGTCGATGTTTCTCTCTCATCGACGTTTCTGGCTCTCTATCTCTCTCCCTTCCTCTCTGTAAAAAATCAATAAAATAAATATATTTTTAAAAATCCATTGTATTACAACGCATGACATATAAAGTTAATATAATGTGCACATACTAAAGGCTCAAAAGACATGAACCAAAGTTGAAGTGCAGTAAAGTGAAACCTGTGAGTCAAGCAGTTCAGATGCAATCGTTAGAGAAGTAAAGATTATTCACAAGCTGGGAATCTGATTACAAATAGTAACTATTAGAACTGAGTAGTTGGCTGAAATTGGTTTGGCTCAATGGATAGAGCGTCGGCCTGCAGACTGAAAGGTCCCAGGTTTGATTCTGGGCAAGGGCATGTACATTGGTTGTGGGCACAGGGGGTGTGCAAGAGGCAGCTGATCAATGATTCTCTCTCATCGATGTTTCTAACTCTCTATCCCTCTTTCTTCCTCTCTGTAAAAAAATCAATAAAATATATTAAAACAAAACAAACAAAACTGAGTAGTTGTGCCTTAGCTGGTGTGGCTCAGTTGGTTGGGAATGGTCTTGTGCATGGAAATTTTGCCAAATAGAAATCTGGATATGACACATTACCAGGCTGCAGGTACAACAATTGTTTGAAGTGTATACAGGAAGCAGTTAACCAATGTTTCTGTCACATCAATGTCTGTTTTTCTGTATGTGCAGTATGATTAGAAATTAAAATATTTACCTTTTTAAAAAAGTATATATTTTATTGATTTTCTACAGAGAAGAAGGGAGAGGGAGAGAGAGCCAGAAACATCAATGACAGAGAGACATAGATCAGCTCCCTCCTGCCCACCCCCCACTGGGGAGTTGCCTGCAACCAAGTGGGAAAATGACAGGAATCGAACTGGAATCAGTCCACAGGCCAACCCTGCATCCACTGAGCCAAACTGGTAAGGGCTAAAATATTTACCTTTAGGCCAAAACCGGTTTGGCTCAATGGATAGAGCGTCAGCCTGGGGACTGAAAAGTCCCGGGTTCGATTCCAGTCAAGGGCATGTACCTTGGTTGCGGGCATATCCCCAGTGGGGGGTGTGCAAGAGGCAGCTGATCAATGACTTTCTCTAATCGATGTTTCTAACTCTCTATCTCTCTCCCTTCCTCTCTGTACAAAATCAATAAAATATTTTAATATATTTACCTTTAAAAACATCCATGAGCTACAAGAAAACACAAATGGAACCAACATAATGAAGAAACCAACACAAAAACAAAAGGAGAATATCGGGCAGGAATCATAAAAAAGAATGAAACAAATGGTGGAGTTGAGAAAATACAATGAATGAAATAAAAACATATCGGTACAATGAAGAGTATCAAAATAAGACATGAGAGACTATGTGATATCAAAGACACATAATTTGAAATCGCCCAAGTGTAGAGATAAAAAAGAAGAAAAATAAATTTAAAGCATACAGGAATGTGCCCTGGCCAGGTTAGCTCAGTGGATAGAACATCGGCTTGCGGAATGAAGAGTCCCAGGTTCAATTCTGGTTAGGGCACATGCCTGGGCTGCAGGCTTGTTCCATAGTAGGGGAGGCTGGGGGAAGGTCAATGGGGAAAAAAAGAATATATTTGAACTAATATATATAATACTTTAAACAATAAAAAATAATAAAAAAGAACTGTCAAAAGTTCTTCAAGATGAAATGAAAGAACACTAAATAGAAAGAAGAATACATAGCAAAATGTAAATTTCCCTCATAAAGTCAAGAATGAAATATAATTCATAATATAGTAACATGCATTGGCAGAATGTACATTATGAAACCTCTATTATGAAAGTTAAAATTGTGAACTAGCAAAAATAGCGAAACTAATAATGTGTACCTTAGAAGATGACCAATATGAAAAGATGTGAAATGTGATATCAAAAACATATAAAGGAGTGTGCTGGCGAAGAGTCAAAGATAGAATTTTGGTATAAAATTGAAGGTGCTGTCAGGATAAAAACAGATTATAAAGAGTATGAGTTGTTTTATGTAAGTCTCTTGGAAACCACAAGCAAAAACCTATGTAACAGATACACAAAAGAGAAAGGACTAAAACCATTATACAAAATTATCAAATCACAAAGGACAATAACAAAGGAAATACAAAAAAGCCAGACAAAGGAAATACAAAAAAGCCAGAAACCAGAAACAATGTTAAAGTGTCAACAGTAGGCCCTAAAACAAATTCCCAAATCAAAAGACAGTGACTGAAAAAGATAAAAACAAAAGAACACCACTAACAACAAACCAGAGGCAATATATGCTGCCTACAAGATACACTAAAACTTTATGGACACAAATAGGCTGAAGAGAATGGGATGCAAAAAATATTTCACGCAACCGAAACTGGTTTGGCTCAGTGGATATGGTTCAGATCCTCACAATAAAGCAAATATCGCCATATAGACAGAAAGCTACACAAATTTTTTTATTTTCCAGTGAATAATAAAGATAAGTTGCCCTGGCTACTGTGCCTCAATTGTTTGGGCGTCACCCCATGTTGGGAAAGGCTGTTGCTTCTATTCCCAGTCAGCATGCATGCCAGGGTTGGTTGTAGGCTTCTTCCCTGGTGAGGGGCGTGCAGGAGGTAGGTAGGCAATATTCTGCTCTCACATCGATGTTTCTCTTTCTCTCTCCCTCTCTCTTTAAAAATCACTAAATACATTTTAAAAAATGTGAACATTAGCCAAAACCGGTTTGGCTCAGTGGATAGAGCGTCGGCCTGTGGACTGAAAGGTCCCAGGTTTTTTTTTTTTTTTTTTTTTTTTTTTTTTTTTTTTTTTTTTTTCAGCTAAAAACTTTTATTTTATTTTATTTTTTTTTTTTTTTAAAGCAATCTTTATTGTTCATATTATTACAAAGGTTCCTCATTTCTTCCCCCCTCCACCAGGTTCCCACCCCACCCTCCGTCCCCCCCCCATCCCCCATTGTCCTCATCCATAGGTGCAGTTTATGTTCAGTCTCTTCTTCCCTCAATTTCCCCAATAGTAAATCCCTTTTCAGATAGTAAATCAGTTACTTAGCATTTTCTCATATCAATAATACCTCCACATGCCCAATGATACACTTCACACAAAAGACATTTCCCACTAGGTCAACCAGCCTCATCCAGGCCCCACCCAAGGCACTCACAGATCAACACCCCAGTCCCAAACTAACTCAACACATCCAGATCTAAGCCTTCATCACTTGATTCAGCAGACACTCAAGTTCCCACGAAAGTTTCCAGCCATGTCTGAGAAGCAGCCGTGGGGCAGGGGCAGGCAAGGAGCGAGCTGTTCTGGGCCTGGCTGCTCAGGGCCTGGCCTCTGTTGCTCTGGTTCATTCCACAACCAGCTGCTCCGGGTCTGGTCACTGCCGCTCCCGACCTAGTTGCTCTGGACTTGGCTGCTGCTCCCCTGGGCCTGGCCGCTCCCAGCCTGGCAGCCGCTGCTCCGGGCCTGGCCGCACCCGACCCGCCTGCTCCCCCGGGCCTGGCCGCTCCCAGCCTGGCAGCCGCTGCTCCGGGCCTGGCCGCACCCGACCCGCCTGCTCCCCCGGGCCTGGCCGCTCCCAGCCTGGCAGCCGCTGCTCCGGGCCTGGCCGCACCAGCCCCGCCTGCTCCCCCGGGCCTGGCCGCTCCCAGCCTGGCAGCCGCTGCTCCGGGCCTGGCCGCACCCGACCCGCCTGCTCCCCCGGGCCTGGCCGCTCCCAGCCTGGCAGCCGCTGCTCCGGGCCTGGCCGCACCCGACCCGCCTGCTCCCCCGGGCCTGGCCGCTCCCAGCCTGGCAGCCGCTGCTCCGGGCCTGGCCGCACCAGCCCCGCCTGCTCCCCCGGGCCTGGCCGCTCCCAGCCTGGCAGCCGCTGCTCCGGGCCTGGCCGCACCCGACCCGCCTGCTCCCCCGGGCCTGGCCGCTCCCAGCCTGGCAGCCGCTGCTCCGGGCCTGGCCGCACCAGCCCCGCCTGCTCCCCCGGGCCTGGCCGCTCCCAGCCTGGCAGCCGCTGCTCCGGGCCTGGCCGCACCAGCCCCGCCTGCTCCCCCGGGCCTGGCCGCTCCCAGCCTGGCAGCCGCTGCTCCGGGCCTGGCCGCACCAGCCCCGCCTGCTCCCCCGGGCCTGGCCGCTCCCAGCCTGGCAGCCGCTGCTCCGGGCCTGGCCGCACCCGACCCGCCTGCTCCCCCGGGCCTGGCCGCTCCCAGCCTGGCAGCCGCTGCTCCGGGCCTGGCCGCACCCGACCCGACTGCTCCCCCGGGCCTGGCCGCTCCCAGCCTGGCAGCCGCTGCTCCGGGCCTGGCCGCACCAGCCCCGCCTGCTCCCCCGGGCCTGGCCGCTCCCAGCCTGGCAGCCGCTGCTCCGGGCCTGGCCGCACCCGACCCGCCTGCTCCCCCGGGCCTGGCCGCTCCCAGCCTGGCAGCCGCTGCTCCGGGCCTGGCCGCACCCGACCCGCCTGCTCCCCCGGGCCTGGCCGCTCCCAGCCTGGCAGCCGCTGCTCCGGGCCTGGCCGCACCAGCCCCGCCTGCTCCCCCGGGCCTGGCCGCTCCCAGCCTGGCAGCCGCTGCTCCGGGCCTGGCCGCACCAGCCCCGCCTGCTCCCCCGGGCCTGGCCGCTCCCAGCCTGGCAGCCGCTGCTCCGGGCCTGGCCGCACCAGCCCCGCCTGCTCCCCCGGGCCTGGCCGCTCCCAGCCTGGCAGCCGCTGCTCCGGGCCTGGCCGCACCCGACCCGCCTGCTCCCCCGGGCCTGGCCGCTCCCAGCCTGGCAGCCGCTGCTCCGGGCCTGGCCGCACCCGACCCGCCTGCTCCCCCGGGCCTGGCCGCTCCCAGCCTGGCAGCCGCTGCTCCGGGCCTGGCCGCACCAGCCCCGCCTGCTCCCCCGGGCCTGGCCGCTCCCAGCCTGGCAGCCGCTGCTCCGGGCCTGGCCGCACCCGACCCGCCTGCTCCCCCGGGCCTGGCCGCTCCCAGCCTGGCAGCCGCTGCTCCGGGCCTGGCCGCACCCGACCCGCCTGCTCCCCCGGGCCTGGCCGCTCCCAGCCTGGCAGCCGCTGCTCCGGGCCTGGCCGCACCAGCCCCGCCTGCTCCCCCGGGCCTGGCCGCTCCCAGCCTGGCAGCCGCTGCTCCGGGCCTGGCCGCACCAGCCCCGCCTGCTCCCCCGGGCCTGGCCGCTCCCAGCCTGGCAGCCGCTGCTCCGGGCCTGGCCGCACCAGCCCCGCCTGCTCCCCCGGGCCTGGCCGCTCCCAGCCTGGCAGCCGCTGCTCCGGGCCTGGCCGCACCCGACCCGCCTGCTCCCCCGGGCCTGGCCGCTCCCAGCCTGGCAGCCGCTGCTCCGGGCCTGGCCGCACCCGACCCGCCTGCTCCCCCGGGCCTGGCCGCTCCCAGCCTGGCAGCCGCTGCTCCGGGCCTGGCCGCACCAGCCCCGCCTGCTCCCCCGGGCCTGGCCGCTCCCAGCCTGGCAGCCGCTGCTCCGGGCCTGGCCGCACCAGCCCCGCCTGCTCCCCCGGGCCTGGCCGCTCCCAGCCTGGCAGCCGCTGCTCCGGGCCTGGCCGCACCCGACCCGCCTGCTCCCCCGGGCCTGGCCGCTCCCAGCCTGGCAGCCGCTGCTCCGGGCCTGGCCGCACCCGACCCGCCTGCTCCCCCGGGCCTGGCCGCTCCCAGCCTGGCAGCCGCTGCTCCGGGCATGGCCGCACCAGCCCCGCCTGCTCCCCCGGGCCTGGCCGCTCCCAGCCTGGCAGCCGCTGCTCCGGGCCTGGCCGCACCAGCCCCGCCTGCTCCCCCGGGCCTGGCCGCTCCCAGCCTGGCAGCCGCTGCTCCGGGCCTGGCCGCACCAGCCCCGCCTGCTCCCCCGGGCCTGGCCGCTCCCAGCCTGGCAGCCGCTGCTCCGGGCCTGGCCGCACCCGACCCGCCTGCTCCCCCGGGCCTGGCCGCTCCCAGCCTGGCAGCCGCTGCTCCGGGCCTGGCCGCACCCGACCCGCCTGCTCCCCCGGGCCTGGCCGCTCCCAGCCTGGCAGCCGCTGCTCCGGGCCTGGCCGCACCCGACCCGCCTGCTCCCCCGGGCCTGGCCGCTCCCAGCCTGGCAGCCGCTGCTCCGGGCCTGGCCGCACCCGACCCGCCTGCTCCCCCGGGCCTGGCCGCTCCCAGCCTGGCAGCCGCTGCTCCGGGCCTGGCCGCACCAGCCCCGTCTGCTCCCCCGGGCCTGGCCGCTCCCAGCCTGGCAGCCGCTGCTCCGGGCCTGGCCGCACCAGCCCCGTCTGCTCCCCCGGGCCTGGCCGCTCCCAGCCTGGCAGCCGCTGCTCCGGGCCTGGCCGCACCCGACCCGCCTGCTCCCCCGGGCCTGGCCGCTCCCAGCCTGGCAGCCGCTGCTCCGGGCCTGGCCACACCCGACCCGACTGCTCCCCCGGGCCTGGCCGCTCCCAGCCTGGCAGCTGCTGCTCCGGGCCTGGCCAGGTCCCAGGTTTGATTCCAGTCAAGGACATGTATCTTGGTTGTGGGCACATCACCAGTGCGGGGTGTGAAAGAGGCAGCTGATCGATGTTTCTCTCATCGATGTTTCTCTCTATCCCTCTGTCTTCCTCTGTGTAAAAAATCAATAAAAAATATTTTTTATAAAATAAATAAAATAGCCGAGGCCGGTTTGGTTCAGTGGTGGAGCGTCGGTCTGCGGACTGAAGGGTCCTGGGTTCAATTCTGGTCAGGGGCATGTGCCTTGGTTGCGGGCGCATCCCCGGTGGGGGGTGTGCAGGGGGTGACTGGTCGATGTTTCTCTCTCATTGACATTTCTGGCTCTCTATCTCTCTCCCCTTTCTCTCTGTTAGGGATCAATAAAATATATTAAAAAAAATACTAATAAAATTAATTAATTAATTAATTAATTAAATAAAATAAAAAATGTGAACACTATCTGCAGATATTAATGCAATATCTCTGCCTAAAAGAAAAACCCAAAAAATTCTGCAGGCCTTAATTAAAAATAGTTTATCACAAAGAATAAATACTTTCTCAGTAAACACCAGTAAACAGCATCTGAGCCTGCTGGAAAATAGCACTTCCTGAATGCAGGACTGTCCAAAACAGGGAATTGGTGGGGGGAGCCACATAATATCTTCTAAGAACAATTAAATGCATCCAAAAAAGACATGTGCTTAAATGTAGGTGAAAACAAATTGATATATAAAATATAGAAAGTATTTTGAGTACATAGTCGAAAAAGTATGGTTAAAAAACAGGCTAAAGCCGGGACCGGTTTGGCTCAGTGGATAGAGCGTCGGCCTGTGGACTGAAAGGTCCCGAGTTCGATTCCAGGCAAGGGCAGTACCTTGGTTGCAGGCACATCCCCAGTAGGGGGTGTGCAAGAGGCAGCTGATCAATGATTCTCTCTCATCGATGTTTCTAACTTTCTATCCCTCTCTCTTCATCTCTGTGAAAAATCAATAAAATATATTAAAAAAAAAAAAAAAAAAAAAAAAGGCTAAGGATGTAGAGACAATTTTCCCAAAAAAAATATGAACAAATGACCAATAGAAATATAGAAAATGCTTTTCTTCGCTAATCGTGGTTTAATTCATTTGGCTCTCTGCCACCCTACCAATCACATATTCTTCCCTGAGAGTTCAGTGTAGCAGGTATTGGGGCGGCACAGAGAGCAGCCGGCAGTGCAAGCAAAGGACAGCAACTGCCCAGGAAACTGGAAAACGTGCAGTGCCCACAGCCCATATGTGAGGAGAGAGCAACCTGGGAAAGGGGCTGGGAAAATGCAAAGCCAAGTCCAGGTCACTGGTGACAGTGAGGGTCTTACCCAGCGAGGACACAAGTTCAAAGTTCTCCAGCATGACATTCAGGTACAGCTGTCTCTGACCCTCATCCAGGAGGCTCCATTCCTCCCTGGAGAAGTACAGGGCAATGTCCTCCAAGGTCACGCCATCCTGTCAGAATCGAGACATTTGAAACCGGAGTTGTCTTTCTGAGAACGCCCCCTCCTACTCCTTACACACTTTCCCCCTATCCCCCCCCAACCTCCTCCAGGGCACCCGGTTAGTGTGGACACCAGGCCCTAATGCCAGTGCAGGCTGCTCTCTCATCACAGTCCCATCACTCACTGGGATTGCCCTCAGGAAAGGCAAAGGGGACAGCAGAGAAACACCATCTAAGCTCTGGGCCATGCCTGCAGGGCCCCAGCCTTCCTGCCAAGCAATCCCACTGCAGCCTCCCAGATCATGGCCCCCAGACAAAGTCAAGCCTGGGTTTATGCTTCCCCCTTATGTCCCCACACCAGGTCCCGGGGACCATCAGCTCACACTTCCTCCAGATATGCACAACAGTGGGTAACGTTTATCCCCTTCCCATCTTCAGACCCCAGGTTCACTCCCTCAGCTCTGCCCCCTTCGTGCTCCAATGCCACTGGGTCTCGCTGGGCTCCCCATGAACTTGGCACATGGCATGTGGAGAAGCCTGTCTTCCAGCGGGTCCAGGCCCACCCCAGGCCCCTGAGGGACCCCACAGCCGGGAAAGCCCCCATGAGGCTGTGAGTCCTCCCTGCAGCCCCTGATCTGCCCGCCGATCCTCACAGCCACACCCTCAGGGGAACCTCAGAGGCCGGTCACCCCCTTCCTCTCCGCCCCGCACTGGCCGTGTCCTCAGAAGCCACCGCGCTCCTCCCTCCCCTCCGCCTTCCTCACGGTCCTCCCCGCGGGCGGAGCTGCAGGAGGGACAGGCCCGCACCGGGCTGTGGGGTGCGGGGTGAGGAGGCGGAGTTGTGGTGGGCGGGGGTGAGGTTGTGAGGGGTGAAGGGAGGGGAGGGGGACAGGAACTCACCTCAGCCCCGCGCCTCAGCGCGGGCGCCGCCATCGCGCTCTGTGGGCCGAGCGGGGCCGGAGCGGCGGGAGGAGCGGCCGGCTCTTTCCGGGCCGCGGAGCGGGTCACCATGGTGACCGCGCCGAGCTTCACTCTCGCGTGTGTGCTGTGTGTACCGCGATTACCGCCCATTTTCTGTCCGGGCGCCTCCACGGGGACCCGGACGATCTGGACAACCCGGCCAGGTAGCTAAGCTGATGCCCGGTGGACGCTGGAAGTCCCGCCCCTGCGCCCCGTCCTTCATCGTTAAGGCCTTTTCTGACCTCTCATTGGTTCAGCTGGAGGAATTCCACGCGAGGTCTTCTGGGTAATGTAGTTCCTGAAGCTCAAGGCTGCAGGTAGGCAGGGTACCCACTCCCCCCCCCCCCCCATCACTCCAGGACCGTGGTGGGCAAAGTGCGGCTCTAGAACCACATGCGGCTCTTTGAGCCCCTTGAATGTGGCTCTTCCACAAAATACCACGGCCTGGGTGAATCTATTTCAAAGAAGTGGCGTTAGAAGAAGTTTAAGCCGAAACCGGTTTGGCTCAGAGCTTTGGTCCTGGGTTTGATTCCGCTCAAGGGCATGTACCTTGGTTACAGGGACATTCCCAGTAGGAGGTGTGCAGGAGTCAGCTGGTGGATGGCCGGTCCGGCGGGGGAGAGGGTTCCCCACGTCCCCAGGTCCATCTTCACCCCCGCGCGTGTGCTGTGTGGACCACCACCCTCGCGGCTTTTCCCTGGGGGCAGTTCCCTGCCGATCGGGAATCTCGGATGAGGTAGCTGGCACCAACCTTAGTGAAAAGGCCTACCTTGAGGACACAGGAAGTCCAGCCTCTAAGAGCTGCCGGAAACTGACTCTTCATTGGTTCCTGGGGGATTGCACATTTGGTGGTTGGGTGATGTGAGTCAGTCCCAGACCAGGGCCCAGGGTTTTCCCTGCCTCATCCAGGAGAAAGAACCCAGGTCAGCCTCTGCAGGACTAAGAGATGTCCCATCGCATGGAAGAGGCATCTTGGAAATGGCTAAAGGAAGTTGTCATCCTTTCCTGTTGAAGAGTCTTGAGTACATGCCAATGAAAACACATTATTTTTGAGCCCAATGAGTCTAGAACATGTTATCCCATCAATGACCTACTTACACCATCATATGTGGATGTGAAAAATATAACACAGGAATGTAGGACACACTTTTGGAAGGCAGCTATGCTAACCACTATACCACCAACGCCCCATAGGACACACTTTTGAAATAAAGAACGAAGATGCATAGTATAAACTTTATTTTTATTTTATTTTTTTTTTTAGAAAGATAGGGAGAGATATGGGCATCATGAGAGAGACACATCCACTGCAGCTGATAAATGATGGAACTCCCCTGAATACTGGGAGGCCAAGGGTAAGCGCTCTGACATCTTAGAAAAATCGTATTTGCAACAATGGAAAGTGCACCTTCAACTGAGCCTTCCTGGTCCTCACAATGTACTTCGAGGGGCCAGACTATCCAAGGTTCTGGAGCCAGAATCCCATGTTGGAATCCTGTCTCCTACACCAGACACATGTCTATTGAGTCAACTTGCAAAACCTTTCTAATCTTTGATGTTCACAGCAATTTGAAATATGTTTCCACTTACCAGGTGGTTGTGAGAATTGAAAAAAATGCTCAGGTGAACCCGGTTTGGCTCAGTGGATAGAGCCTTGGTCTGTGGACTGAAGGGTCCCAGGTTCCATTCCAGTCAAGAGCATGTACATTGGTTGCGGGCACATCCCCGGTGGGGGATGTTCAGGAGGCAGCTGGTCAATGTTTCTCCTTCCATGTTTCTAGCTCTCTATCCCTTTCTCTTCCTCTCTGTAAAAAAAATCAATAAAATATATAAATAAAAAAAAGAAAATGCTCGGAGAGCTAATCCTAGAATCTTCTCACCAGCAAGGACTCAGCGGGTTTTTAATTGATCTTCGGAGGTTAAGTGTCAATATCACCTTCATGTCACTTTCAGCCCAATGAGGTCAGGGAGCTCTGAGTCACCTGGAGATTTGCAGGCAAAGAACCTACACTGAGACCTCAGGGCCCACAGCGCCTGCCTCCCTGCAGGTGAGTCAGAGGCTCCTCATGCGCCTCATTTCTTTCTGAAACACACCCCAACGTAAAGGTGCTCGTCTGCATTGAGGGAGGGATGTCTGGCCCGAAATGTCTCTATACTCACAGGGTAGAGTTGCCTGAGCGCAGGCAGGCCACCAGCATAGATGTCACACTGCAGATAGGCATATTAGCATCAGACCTCCTCCGACAGCTCAGGGACAGAGATGTACCTCATAGGTTAAGGAGAAAACGAAGCTCTGGCTAGAGAAAGGGGTCGTTTTCCCTGTGAATCCCAGCGATATTCGGCAATCTGGAATTCAAATCCAAAATGCCTGACCCAAGGGCAAGGAGAGTCTGATCCCTGTCCCCCCCGTTTCCCTCTGCATTGGCTTTGGGACTCTGTAACACCCTGCCCGCCCTGATGCCCTCTGGTCCTCCTGAAGGACCTGTTCCAACCCAAGAACCCCCATGACTGGAGACCAGGAAGATGAAAAAGACTACAAAGCCAGGGCTCAGTGCAGGACCGGATGGCTGATGTTCTGAAAACGATAGAGTATGTTCATAGTGCGAGTTAAAATGAAAAGTGTCCGTTGCATGGTGTATGGCAGGGAAAAAGTAAAAGACATTAGGACATGTCATTCGAACCCAAAAAAACCTTTATTCCATAAGGCCAGAAAGGCACCACATGAAATCCCAACTTCCATCTTGGTTGTTTCACTCTCCTTTTGTTAAAAGACAAAACGCACAGCAGAGTAGGCAGAACCCAGGACCAAACATTTTAACAGAGATACAAAGGTAGCAAGAACACACCTCGGGAAGGTCCTATGTCCTCATGTAAATCAGTGGTTCTCAACCGTCCTAAGGCCGCGACCCTTTAATACAGCTCCTCATGTTGAGGTGACCCCCAACCATAACATTATTTCCGTGGCTACTGCATCACTGTAATTTTGCTACTGTTATGAATCGTAATGTAAATATCTGATATGCAGGATGTCTTAAGCGACCTCTGTGAAAGGGTCTTTCGACCCCCAAAGAGGTCGAGACCCACAAGTTGAGAACCGCTGCCATTAATCCTTAGGAGAAAGCAATAAAATAGTGAGTTACCATGACAAAGTTTTAAAAAATGTCTAAATAAAAAATGATTGACCAAACCAAGGATTCTCTAATATGAGGAGGAACTGAATCCCTCATACGCTGCTGGAAAATGCACGCAGGCCAATCAGTGTCAATCATTAATTGCAAATATCTCTAAGTTAAACATTCATCTACCCAACGACTCAAAACTATGTACTGAGTTACTGAGAAGGGTAAATGAAACACATCCTCATAAAGAGTTCTAGGAACATGTTGGTAGCAATTTAAATAAAGTAAAAATTAGAAATGAGCCTATCAAATGACTAAAGCATGCTACATTCGAAGATACAAACATTTCTCTGCAAAAAAAGGTGAGCTATTAATATATCATTAATAAACCTATAAACAGTTATGCAACGTAAAGAGCAGAGGGAAAAAATACTCAGATTCCCATCAGATGAAGTTCAGAAATTGCAGTTATCTATTTTAGATAGAATGTAAATTAGTGGTTCTGTGGAATGCTATCAAGGGCATAATTTATTGATTTTTTACAGAGAGGAAAGAAGAGGGATAGAAAGCTAGAAACATTGATGAGAAATAAACATCAATCAGCTGCCTCCTGCACACCCCCTATTGGGGATGTGCCCGCAACCAAGGTACATGCCCTTGACCAGAATCGAATCTGGGAACTTTCAGGCCATAGGCTGACATTTTATCCACCGAGCCAAACCGTTCTTGGCAGCTAGCCACTATTTGGAGTGTTCTGAAACTGCTAAAACTCATAGCATCAGGCTTATTATGAGGGCTGGGAAAATAACGCAGCAATGCAAATCTGGCCTAAACTGAGGTGCTAATTTCTGCATGTCATTCTCCCCGAGGCAGAGAAAGTTTGAGATGACCAGAAAATTGTTCACCTCCTGATGAGGGTAAAACCCGAATCTGCTTATTAATTACCACAGACAGTAAGTAGAACACTGAAATTAAAAAGCTTGTCGCAGCTGAGACCGGTTTAGCTCAGTGAATAGAGCGTCGGCCTGTGGACTGAAAGGTCCAGGGTTTGGTTCTGGTCAAAAGCATGTATCTTGGTTGTGGGCACCTCCCCAGTAGGGGTGGTGCAAGAGGCAATTGATCGATGATTCTCATCGAAGTTTCTGTCTATCCCTCTATTCCTCTCTGTAAAAAATCAATAAAATATATTAAAAAATAAATAAATAAATAAACAAACTTGTCCCTGGGAAAGGTAGTTATTCTATAAGCTGCTCGCTGAAGTCAGGTGATGTTCTATGGGGACAACACTGAGTCAGGTCCATATGGCAACTAGTAAGAGAGCAAGGAAATACCTCTTACAAGCTCAGGCTGCTCCCAATTTTCTCAAACAAATCAGAGAACAGCTTTCCTGAGCACATGAGGAAGGTGATCGATGCAATCTGTGAAAGCCATAAAGGTATATCTCACTAGAATATGTAGTGAGATATACGGTGTGGCTCAGTGGGTGAGACTGGACCTATAAAACAGATCAGGACACAGGCCTGAGGGTGTAGGGTCAATCCCCAGTTATCTCCTGGGGTTGGGCAGGAGACAGCCAATCAATGACTCTCTCTCACCATTGATGTTTCTATCTCCCCCTCTCCTTTTTTTAAATCAATAAAAATAAACTTAAGAAAAAAGAAAAATACAAATATATTTAAAGAAAAAAATCAACACCCCTATTTGGTTTGGTTCAGTGGATAGACCGTTGGCCTGTGTAATGAAGGGTCCCAGGTTCAATTCCAGTCAAGGGCACATGATCAGGTTTCAGGCTCGATTACCAGCAGGGGGCATGCAGGAGGCAGCCAATGATTCTCATCATTGATCTTTGTAAAGTTTCCCTCTCTCTCTCCCTTCCTCTCTGAAATCAATAAAAATATATTATAAAAAAAAGACTGACAGAATTTGTCAACCTGGTGATAGGACATAGATGTAGAAGAAAACAAAAAACAAACCAGGATGTGGTGATATAGATCTGGCAAGACACCTGTATAAATAACAAATTGTAACATACATGTGTGGCTCAGTAGGTTTTCCTTCAAGGTACATGCTCAGGTTGTATGCTCAACCCCCAGTAAACGACACGCAGGAGGGAGATGATCGATAATATGTGTCATCACTGATATTTCTATTTATCTCTCCCTCATCTTTCCCTTGTAAAATTAGTAAAAACTTTAAAAAAAAAAAAAAGGTGCAAAATACACACACACATGATTTTTACAGCACTCATATTTATTGGGAATCTCCTACTATTGATGTTGCAGTGTATGAGGTTCAGTTCACACAAATAGGGCTTCATAGAGTTTCTTATAGTACTGTTAGGGTTGAACAAAAAAAAAAAATCTACATTTCCTGCATATCTAAGATCTTACTCCAATGTGAACTCTTATATGGGGAGTAGGGTTAAAATTTTGGCTAAAAGATTTCCCATATTAACTAGACTCATTAGACCTTTCTCTAGCATGAATTTTCTGATGAGAACCAAGGCAATATTTGGTGGTAAAAGACTTCCCACACTCACCACACACATAAGGCTTTTCTCCAGTGTGAACTCTTAGATGACGTCGAAAGCTACTCCCACTGATAAAAGATTTTCCACATTCATTGCACTCATAAGGCCTTTCTCCAGTGTGAATTCTCTGATGACGACGGAAGCCATTGCTACTGGTAAAAGATTTCCCACATTCATTGCACTCATAAGGCCTTTCTCCAGTGTGAACACCCATCTGATGGTAACGGAGGCTACTTCCACAGGTAAAAGATTTTCCACATTCACTGCACACATGAGACTTTTCACCTGTGTGAATTCTCTCATGGCGATTAAGGACATTTTTCCGAGTAAATGATTTCCCACATTCACTGCACTTAAAAGGCCTTTCTCCAGTGTGAATTCTCTGATGACAATGGAAGCCATATTTCTGAGTAAATGATTTCCCACATTCACTGCACTCATAAGGCCTTTCTCCAGTGTGAACTCTCTGATGGTAACGAAGATAATAGATACTGTTAAAAGATTTATCACATTCATTGCACTTATGCCTTTCTCCAGAGTGCAATTTTTGATGATAATGGAAGCCACTACTATTGACAAAAGTTTGCCCACATTCATTGCACTCATAAGGCCTTTCTCCAGTGTGAACTCTCATCTGATGATAACGGAGGCCACTACTACAGGTAAAAGATTTTCCGCATTCACTGCACTCATAAGGCATTTTTCCAGTGTGAACTATCTGATGATCACGAAGGTTACTGATCCTGGTAAAAGATCTTCCACATTCAATACATTGATAAGGCCTTTCACCTGTGTGACATCTCTGATAATAAAAGAGGCCAATACTACTGGTAAAAGATGTCCCACATTCGCTGTTCTCAAAAAGCTTTTTTTCTGCATGAAATCTCTGATGATAACAAAAAGTAGAAAATCGAGAAAAATATTTTCCACATTCACGGCAACTGAAATACGCTTTTCCAGTAGGGACACCCTTGTCCCAATCACATATGTAGTTAGAGCCGATGGATTTATCACATTCTTTATTAGTAAAATAATTGTTTTCCTCTTGATACGTCACCCCACACATTGAGATACCATTCAGGTTGTCACTGATCTGAGTAGCCGTTTGCTGGAGAAGCCCTGCCGGGCTAAGGATGTCCTGCCCCACCTCTCCACAGCTAAAAAGCTTCTGAAACACATTGAAATTGCAGCCCTCTTCAAGTGAGACCGAGTTCACACCTCTGATCAAAGGCTTCTCTCTCAAGTGCTGCTGGTGCTGGTGAAATGGTGCATTGAAATAAAATTGCTGTGCACAGGCTCCACACCTCAATAGGATCTGCCTGTGTTGTAATTCCTGCTGATGAGTCACATGGAAAATGTTTCTCAAAACGAGTCCACAACTCTCACAAGGGTGGCTCTTCTGGGAAGACAAAGCTAACTTGGGATTCCTTGCCTGTGACACTTCTACTGAAATGTTCTCTTCAAGAGATTCCTCCACATTCTCTGCTCCACAGCAGCAACCTGAACAAAAGGAAACACAGGTGAAGTACATGATGACTTCAGAAGGAAGAAATACCCTCATCTCAAATGTCTATCTGTCACAGCTAGGCCTGAGTGTATGGGATGCTTTTCAAGGCCGGTAAGTTAGACTCCGAGGAAATGGCTGGTATACATTACTTGACCCCTAAGGTCAGTCAATAGTGGAGACTTTACTAAAGGAGGGCCATGAACATAAGATGGAACACAAACAAGAGATGCAGGGCCCACTAGTGGTTCCTTTATAAAGAGCTTCCTGTAAGACCATTCAAACTGATGACGCAGTCTATGTGAAACAATGTGAATGTGCCCAAACATATTAAAACCTACTGCATTATATCACATGATATGTATGATTAAAATAATATGGCTCTAAAGTCATGGACCAAAGAGGAGCTTATACGGGTAACAGTTGAGGTACAAAGTTTAGAGAGGTAAAGACTAACCATAAGCAGGAAACCTAAGTAGAAATAATAATGCTAAAATGGAGAAGTTTAGCCATAGGTAGAATGGCTCAGTTGGTTGAGCATCAATCTTTCCATTAAAAGGTAGCTAGATCGAATCCCTGTCAGAGCACATGCCCAGGTTCTAGGTTCAACCGTCATTTGGGCTGTATACAGGAGGCAACCAATCAATGCTTCTTTCTCTCTCTCTCTCTCTCTCTTTTTCTCTCTCTTCCTCTCTCGCTTTTCCTGTCTTCCTCTGTGTCTAAAATAAAGAAAAACATTAAAACACACACACACACACACACACACACACACACACACACACACACAAAAAAAACTGAGTAGTTGCCGAAACTAGTTTTGCTCAGTGGATAGAGCATTGGCCAGGTTTGATTCGGTCAAGGGCATGTAGCTTGGTTGCGGGCACATCCCCAGTGTGGGGTATACAGGAGGCAGCTGGTCGATGTTTCTCTTTCACCGATGTTTCTAACTCGCTATCCCTCTACTTTCCTCTCTGTAAAAAGTCATTACAATATATTAAAAAAAATAAAAATAAATTAAAAAACTGAGTAATTTGCATAGTGTCAATAATAAGAAAGCACAAGTAGAATGGGGTACAGAACTGGCGATGAAAACAATACAATGTTGAGCAAAATAAGTTCTTACTAGCTCTTCACCAAGGCAAGATGGCCTCTGGGTCCACCCTGCCATGGATGTACCCATCTTTCTCCTATAATGCACAAATGATTATTCCCTTTAAATCCCAATTGAGCAATTCCATTGGATACAAATGACAGAAATCCTCAAAGAAAAACTGAAAAGATAGATGGCCAGTAATTTGGTAGAACAAGAGAGCAATGAAGAAATCAGATTAAAAAAACACCAAAAAAACAGAATAATAATAATAATAATAATAATAACAATAATAAATTGTGAGTGACAGCAGCAATAGTATAGCAAAATAGAAAATAGAATTTATCTCCCTGCCAGAATAAGTAGACAGGTATCCACAAAAAGACAATAAACAACCCCAGAGACAGAAATACGATCTCCATAAAGACAAAGAGCAATGCAAAAGTGCAAAAAAGGATGACTGGGAAGATGGGTAATCAAATATATTTGAAGATAGCTAGGGTTAAAAACCAGAGTCGGAGTACCCACACTAACATGAGTGGACTGTTGTGTAAAATACACTGGAATTATGTGTTTCGCAAAACCGCAAAAGCCCATATAACATCTGTGAACTCCCCACAATTTACACATCAAAGGATCATTTAGTGTTTGCTGGCATGAATTATCAGAGAAATACTTTTGGCCACGACCTACCATAGAATAGACACAGAAATCAGAATGTTCCCAGCACTATATTTCACCCTCAATTGTTACTAAAAAACATTGCTATCAAAGTCATTGTGGGATCATACATTATTTGTTGTTATGTCCTCAGCTCGTAGAGCATCAAGGAGGCAAGGCTTTTGAATCTTTTCTAATATCAAAACAACACCCCTCCTAGCCAACACCCTTTATCCCACATGCAGATAAATCTATTTCTCAGGCCATAACTGGTCCATAGGATTAAAGGAGTAATTGCTTCAGGAAATGTGAAGACATTTAATCTATATAAAGCGGAAATATGCTAATTGGTTCCAACAGTGTCCCAGTCACGACCAGAGCTGGTGGGTGGGGTCAGGGGCTGGGACTTCAGGCCGCAGAGCAGGCATGCCAGGCCTTCCTAGTGCTGTCAGGCTGCCTTGGGGATGGGGGCTGCTCCCCAGGGAGGCACAAGCAGGCAGAAACTAGTGGACTGGAATGGGGATGGGGACTTCCGCCCCAGCGCTACCATCATGCTGCCTGCATGAGTTCCCCCCTTAGCACTGAGGTGAAGCTGCCTTTCAGACTATAACTTAAGCCATTGAAAATCAAATGGTACGCCCCAAATGCTTTTCCTTGGATGGTCCAGGTGGTAGTGGAAAAACATATCTTTATAAAGTTTTAATACGTTATATGAGAGGTTGTGGTGGTACTGTTTTACCCACAGCATCAGCATCTACAGGAATTGCTACAAATTTACTTCTCTGTGGAAGATCTTTTTATATTATTTTTAAAAAAATATTTTTATTGCCAAAACCGGTTTGGCTCAGTAGATAGAGCATCTGTCTGTGGACTGAAGAGTCCAAGGTTCGATTCTGGTCAAGGGCATGTACACTGGCTGCGGGGACATTCCCGTTGTGTGTGTGTGTGTGTGCAGGAGGCAGCTGGTCGATGTCTCTCTTCCATGTTTCTAGCTCTCTTCTTTTACAGAGAGGAAGGGAGAGGGACAGAGAGCTAGAAACATCGATGAGAGAAAAACATTGACCAGCTGCCCTCCCCCCAACCCACACAGGGGATGCACCCACAACCAAGGCACATGCCCCTGACCAGAATCGAATCCGGGACTCCTCAGTCCACAGGCCAAACCAATTTCGGCACTTTTAATTTTTTAAATATATTTTATTGACTTTTCACAGAGAGGAAGGGAGAGAGATAAAAGTTAGAAACATGGATGAGAAACATCAATCAGATGCCTATATCAATGAAATAGAATCATTGATTGGCTGTCTCCTGCACGCCCCTTACTGTGCATAGAGCAAACAAACTGGGCATGTGCTCTTGACAGATCTCAAACCCGAGATCTTTCAGTCCACAGGCAGATGCTCTATCCACTGAACTAAACCAGCTAGGATGAAAAACTTTTCATTCCCAATATAAATTACCAATTCCATTAAAGGAAACTTCAATTTTTAGACTCAATATAAAGAGTGAAGTTGTGCCGAAACCGGTTTGGCTCAATGGATAGAGCGTCGGCTTGGGGATTGAGGGGACCTGGGTTCGGTTCTGGTCAAGGACATGTATGTACCTTGGTTGCGGGCATATCCCCAATAGGGGGTGTGCAAGAGGCAGCTAATCGATGACTCTCTCTCATCAATGTTTCTAGCTTTCTATCTCCCTTTCTTTCTGTACGAAATCAATAAAATATATATTTAAAAAAATAAAAAATAAAGAGTGAAGTTCCTAAAACTATTAAAAAGGCCAAACTTCTCATTACTGATAAATGCACCATGGCATCCCATCATGCTATAAACCCATAGAAAGATTACTAAATTATGAATTTGAATGTTGCCTTTGGTGGGAAAGTTCTCCTTTTCGGAGGACATTTTTGACAATGTCTCCGTGTTGTACCGCATGCTATGCGATCGATTGGCCATAGTACAAACGAGTTTTAAGTACTGTTTGGGGATGTTTCAGAAAGTTTTCTCTTAGAACCGATATGAGAACAGAGGATTGTACTTACAGTGAATGGTTAGTAAAACTTGATGGCAAACTTTATAGCAGTTTTCATTTGGAATGGATATTATTGAAATCACTGTAATTCATAATGAATTACATTCATAGTGAAGCTACCTACCTTTGGAAATAGTGTATCTATAGATAATATTAAAAATATATTTAAACACAGATTGCCCAGGACCAAAAAAGAGACGGTCAGACCTGCATCGCCACCATCCAGATATCATTGCAGACATGCACATATGAAAAACTTTTGGACTCAGAACTTTTGGACATTGAAACTTGGACTTAGAACTCTTAGACTTTGAAATTTGAACTCAAACATTTTATTGTTCTTCTATGTTTATTTCTGGTCTGCAGATGCAAGATTTTTTAAAAGAAGGAAACGGGGGAGTTGCCAGAAACCAATCTTTGTCTCACTAATAGAAAGAGGCTGGTCAACCTTGAAGCTCAGAAAGGTCAGAGCGAACCACACCCTATCTAATTTAGGCAACTTCCCCATCTTGTAATCATATAAATCCTTAATTATATGATAATCCACTTATTACCTGCCTAAGGGTTATGGGTGTTTCCCAGAGCTGCTTAAGGTTAGTGGGTGTATTCCATAGCAGCCTCAATAAAAGGGATAGCAAGACCAGAGCCTAGAGAGTCTTCCCACTAGAGGTTGACTCCCGCCTGGTCCCCCATTTGTCCCAACCCCCCCCTCCAAAAAAATATATTGAAACAGCCGAAACCGGTTTGGCTCAGTGGTAGAGTGTCGGTCTGCAGACTGAAAGGTCTCAGGTTCAATTCCAATCAAGGGCATGTACGTTGGTTGCGGGCACATCCCCGTAGGGGGTGTGCAAGAGGCAGCTGAAGG